TCGATCCTGGCTGGATTGTGTCAAATCACGCGTAGGGCGTACTGGATCCCGAGCTTTCACGTTCACAGGGGCTTCCTGTCCTCGGATCCTCGCCCGCGCTTCCAGCATGGATGCCCCGGAGGGTCCTAAAGTCATGCGTCGTGGTTCGGACGACGTGTCTGACTCATCCTCAGCGGCGGATTCGTAGTTTGAGGACGCAGCTTGGCTGATCCTCGGCGACGACACTGGGTCCATAGTGCGCGACCTTTCTCCGGTGATGGACTTAACTCTGGCAAAGAGGTCCCGCGTCGCGGATACTATGAGATCCAGGTCTAGCTCGAAGATATCCTCTGCGTCGAACACACCAGCTACGATGCCTGACTCCGTAAGCAGACGTAATAGATCTTTGACTGCCACCAACTTGTTCGCCGTTTTCGTTGGTGCTCCCACCGGTTCCCTTGGATCTTCGATCTGTCGTGGATTCAGGATCTGCATGACAGGATCTTGATGCAGGAAATCGCGTAGAGCTTGGTGGCGATACACAAACTCGAGATCCTTGTCGGACCAGCTTGACCTGGATCCAGCTTGGTCTTCTTCCGACTCTGGAGCTTGCATCTTCTTCCGCGTAGTCTTACTCGTTTTCGTCTTTTTTCTCGTTTCTTCGACTAGCGGGGTTGGGTTTAGGTACAGTGTTGGCTTAACCGGTGAATCTGCACATGCATACCGTTTCGCCTTCACTTTTCCTTGTTTTGTTAGCGGATCTTGACTTGCGTCAAGATCCGCAGGGGTCCCCGAGGGGACCTGGGGAGGATAGAGAGGTTTTTCTTCTAGATCCGGACCCACCTCTCTTCCGTCGACAGAGTTCCTCCCAAAACTCCATCGATCCGCGGATCTTGTTTCATTCAGCAGCGTCTTCGTCGATCCGACTTCCGACGACGCCTCTTCCCCTGGCTCAATCGTCACTTGAGCATCTTCTTGGGACTCACGGTGAAATCCCGAGTCACCAAAAGATCCGGGCACGCGCACCATTGTGGTGTAGCGGGATCAGCAAAATCTGCGAGATTGCCAGATCCAACTTACCAACTGCGCCCAGACACCGACTAACGGAGGGGGTCCCCCGATGATCCGTGTTCTGCTGAACTTTCCTCACCTTGTGTACCCGTCGGTAGGGCGGGATATTGCTCTCTCGGTAACTTCCGAAGAGTTCAAGTGGTGAAGCTTGAGTGTCTTGGCGAGACGTGGGGATGGGGTGGAGCAGCAGTGGAAAATCTTTACTCTGCGTCCGTGGATTGTTCCGAATCCTAAGCGAATGATCGAGCTTATGGATCCGGGGCCTAGATCGTGGATCTGGCCGTAGGGTTGCCTTACGGGTGTGTTCCATTGCCTTTGTAGTTCCTTTGCGTCGTACTTGCCGCCTCCTGTGACGGGATCTTGAAAGTTGAGAGCCTCTAGGGTGTAACGGACCCAGTGAGTAAATTGCGTTTAGCGCTGTTCGGATTCTGCACAGTAAATGAAAAGCTCACTAGGTGTGTAGGAATCTGGGCCACGATTATTTCTCCAGTTATCACTACCAACACTAGATTCGAATTCCCAACCTTCTTCGAGCTCGTACGGTTAAATGTAGTTCCGGTTCTTGAGGGCAGGAAAGCACTTGCGTGCTACTGTGCAAATTGAGTTCTGTATTGATATTTAAGCCTATACCTGCCTGGGTTTCTACCTTCTATGTCTTTCATCTGCTACATCCCTTACCAGGCTCGGCTGGATGTCTCTTCTTCCCTTGACCCATCATCCCAGCTGTGTTATCTTCAGATCCACCGGATCCATGACGTAACCATCATGGTCACCCTATTATGGATACACTCATCCGGATCCAG